AGGGGCTGTTTGTTTCTGCTAAAAAGCAGAATTTCATCCGTTGAAACCTCAAGAATTGGACCGTTGCTTCAGACAATTTTTGCAGCAATCCTGACATATCAGAAGACATTTTGAATAAAAAGTGGAAAATGACCTTTTTGCCATCAACACTTGAATCATTTTGCATGATTCACATGCATTTTGGACCTTTCATTTGCTAGAAGTCAAATGTTGCTGGCAACCTGGGACCCACCTTGCAGTGAGCAACGGCTCCAAAATCAATTCCTAATGCTGAAAATCGTTGCCTGACAACGCCTTAGCATTACAGGTGTTAAAACATCAATCTAGATGATACTAATATGACATTAAATGAGAGATACAATTAAATTACTCACTTAATTGCATCTCTCATTGAGCTTATTACATCACGCCACTTAGACTGAGCACTAGTATTAAATAGCATTATTTGGGTTTTTATTCATTATAAATATATACAAAATTTAATGCTTTCCTAACAAATCCCATAAAAAAAAATCTCTGTGGCAGAAGATGAGCGATTAATGTTTATAATTAACAAAGATAACCTCAATTATTGGAAAATTAAAGATTAACAATTTAATCGAACTTCGTGATGAGGCTCGTGTGTTACCTAATATATACTCTTTGTCGGCAAAATATTTTACCAAGTAATCAAACTATGGTTTGTGTTGAAGAAGATGACAAACTTCTATAATATTCAACTTATTATTGTTTTTCGTGTTAATTTAGGATATATACAGTCACTTGAACAAGAAGTCTATCTTCTGATTGAAAGTTTATCATAATTGTTTAACTACGACAGAGCCGTTGAATAGAAAAGATATCAGCAATATAAGATCTATATAGAGGAAGAAACTTGGAATAATAGCTACACGATCCCCACCCAACTCAACCCGTAATAGCTCATTTTCTTCTCCAAGAATGGAGATCCAACTTCCCTTCAACTTCATTGCTTTCATGCTCTTCTTGTATTCCATCTTCTTCTTATTCAAAGGGTGGAAAATATCCGCAACCCTAAAGAAACATCAAAGATTGCCTCCAACTCCATGGAAGTTACCTTTGATCGGAAACCTGCACCACCTCGTTGGTGCACTACCACACCGTTCTCTTAAGGAATTAGCCGAAAAATATGGACCAATCGTGCATCTAAAACTCGGTGAAGTCTCTGTCATTGTGGTGTCGTCAGCTGAGCTTGCTAAAGAAGTACTAAAAGTTCAAGATCCTGCTTGTGCCGATAGGCCACAAACGATAGTAAGTAAGATCATGTTGTATGATTCTACCGATATGGGGTTTAGTCCGTATAATGAGTACTGGAGACAAATGCGTAAGATTTGTGTTTTGGAGCTCCTAAGTGCCAAAAATGTCCGGTCATTCAATTCTATAAGGCAAGACGAGGCTTCACGTCTCATCAAATCTATTCAATCATCTTGTGGAGAACCCATCAATCTTACTGAAAAAATATTCTCATTTACAAGTTCGATCACTTGCAGAGCAGCGTTTGGTAAAGTGATTAGGGATAATCTCATCAAATCAATTCAATCATCTTGTTGAGAACCCATCAATCTTACTGAAAAAATATTCTCATTTACAATTTCGTTCACTTGCAGAGCTGCGTTTGGTAAAGTGAGTAGGGATAGAGATATGTTGCTGTCTTTGTTGAAGAAAGCAGTGCCCATGACAGGAGGATTTGGATTAGAGGATTTGTTCCCCTCTTTCAAGCTGCTACATGTTATTAGTTGGAACAAACATAAATTATTGGCCATGCGCCGTAAGCTTGATGTGATCCTTGACGCTATTGTTGACGAACATAGAGCTAATCTAGCTACAACAGACAACGGAAATGGAGAGTTTGGTGGTGAAGACATAGTCGATGTTCTACTTAGAATAAAGGAAAGTGGAGATCAAGACATTGCAATAACTATAGACAACATTAAGGCTATCATTTTTGTAAGTAATTTCATCTTGTACCCTTTTTTGTCAAATTTGCGGGGCCCACATCTCACAACAAGGTCCATATTTGCGGCTCCAACAGTAGAAATTGTGATTAAAATCTTTACCAGACAAGGCATTGGCCTTATTTTTGTTAACAAAATTGGTAGGTTATATCAAGTCAAATTAGTCGATGTGATGAAGTTTTTTGTCAACCTACTGCAACTCGTTTTCTCCTATATATCCAAGCTTTGGACCGACTACGAAAAACAAAATATAGGCGAATTTAATTGACCCTTGGTTTTTTGTGCTACGATATGCAGGATATGTTCTCAGCAGGAACCGAGACTTCATCCACAACAATCGATTGGGCTATGGCAGAACTAATGAGAAATCCAAGTGTAATGGCAAAGGCTCAAACTGAAATAAGAGAGGCTCTTAAGGGAAAGACACTCGATGACAATGATATTCGAACCCTAAAATATCTCAAATTTGTTATCAAAGAAACTCTTAGGCTGCACGCACCCATTCCTTTACTCCCAAGAGCCTGCAAAAAAGAATGTGAAGTTGCTGGATATACTATACCTCTCAAAGCAAAAGTCAGTGTAAATGTTTGGGCTATAGGAAGAGATCCCGAGTATTGGCATGAGGCCGATAGCTTTAAACCGGAAAGATTTGAAGGAAACCCCATTGAATTTACTGGTAATGACTTCGAATTCATTCCATTTGGGGCTGGAAAAAGGATTTGCCCCGGTATAAACTACGGCTTGGCAAATGTCGAGCTTTGTTTAGCCCAACTTCTTTACCACTTCGATTGGAAACTCCCTAACGGGATGAACCCTAACGATTTAGACATGGCCGAGACCAAAGGATTAGCTGTATCAAGAAAAAATGGCCTTTTATTGGTTCCCACATCCTATAATCCTCCCATTGACGGCTGATTAATCCCAAAAAAACATAGGTTTAAATGGAGTTCATTTTCCAGATAAGCCTCACAACTTGAAGACTCATTCGAGATGTTAATTAATTTCCTTTCCTTGTAAACTATTAATCAGGCCAAGTCTTTATCTTATCATATGATGTTCAATAAAAAATAGTTGTATTTGTCCTATGTTTCACTTGAAGACAGATTTGAGGTTTCTTTTCTTGCGAACTATCGATATCATCTCTTTGTCTGATCATAATGAAAAAATCTTACATTTTATGGAACACGGTCTTTTTCTACATCTCATGTCTAAATAATTACAATTTTTTTTTTATTACATAACGTTTCAGCTAATTACTTTCCAACATTTTTTATGTCTAAATTATTACAATTTGAGTTTACTATTCATTTTTGTAACCTCCGTTTCACACCTAATTGTTTTCGCACTGTTCACATAAATATCTTAAATATCTTCCTGCCTTCAATTATGCACCTCTGTTTCTCTTTCTTCTCCAATACAAAAAGAAAAAATACAAACGAAAGCAGTAAACCCTTCAAAATCAAATAAGTTTCTCTACTTCGCGCCAAAATTCTCATATCTTTGTATTAAAAACCCCAAATCGTTGGTGGAGAACAATAAATCCGTGCCTGGACGACCGACTGTAAGGTGTGGAAATTTGCAAAACACCTTCCTCTGTCGACGAAAGAAGTTCCTGCAAAATAAAGTATCATTACGAACTTTCTTAGGTAATATTTTCTTCTCATTCGGTGTTAAGATGTTATGTGTTTTTTATATTTTCAAGAAGGATGATATTTGGTGAGTTCTCCATTTTTAGGCACAAGTTTTTCAAATTGTAGCTTGTCTTTTTGGGTTGTTATTTTTGGGTAGTTGTTGACAAGCAAACGAAATTGCAAGAAGTAATTTTTGCAGAAGTGAAATCTACTGACCACAAATATTTTCAAGAAGGAGGATATTTGGCGAGTTCTCCATTTTCAGGCACAAGTTTTTCAAATTGTAGCTTGTCTTTTTGGGTTGTTATTTTTGGGTAGTTGTTGACAAGCAAACGAAATTGCAAGAAGTAATATTTACAGAAGTGAAATCTACTGACCACAAAATGAAACAAAAGGTACCATTACAAGTTTCCTTTTTTCTTTTTTTGTTTACTTTTATCATTTTATATGGACTTTTTTTCTTCGGAAGAAAAACGGAGTGTTCGGTCACCATTTCCAACTTTATATGCACAACTAATAATCCTTGCCCAACTAATTAGTCTATTTAATTGACTGAAAAAATCGGTTTCGTGAGATTGAATTACAATAATTTTGGTTTGGAATTTTATGGAAGCAAATCCTTTTTTTTTTTTTTTGTGAAAACCCCAGAGGGGATTTATGCGTTTAGAGCTATTTTCTGGGCTTTCTTAATTTTAGAAAATTTTCTAATTATTGCTTAAATTATGTCTTTTGATTACAGATTGAGGAATGGGAAGAAGTGGAAAAGTACTTATCTGGATTCACTAAGGTTGATGATAACAGAGATTCAATGAAAATTTGCATTGTTTTATTTTCAAGGAGGTTGTTGTAAATGGAATGACATGCAGAGAAAATGAGCAATTGTCTAAGTATGGAGATACCAAGTCTGCTAAGAGTATAATGCTTGCTGAACTTAAGAAGCTGATAGAAGCAAATCCCTTGTTTTGTGATAAGCTGAACTTCCCCAGCTTGAAAAACTCGAGACTAAGGACACTAATTAATCAGAGGTTAATTTCTTTGTAATTTTGATGTTGGAAGTTCTATCAGAATATGAAATTGACACATTGCTATTTTTTATCTTCTGTATAGCTTCAGTTTGAATTGGCAGCATCAGCTCTGTAAGAATCCAAAGCCTAATCCTGATCATTCTTGTGGACCCTCACAACCAAATGGTGCTAAGGCCCTGTCACCCGTAACTGCTCCACTTATGGGGGCTGTTCCTAAGGCTGGGGGATTCCCACCCCTGAGTGCTCATGGTGTAAGTTGTTGTATTAGTCAAGAAAAAACATACAAATAGGATTTATCTGAGACTTCCAAGATGTTTGAAACTGATTTTCTTATTGTTTCTCTAGCCATTCTCTAGCCATTTCAGCCAGCACCAGGTCCTCTGGTAATGTCTCCTGCTGCATGGTTGGCTAATCCATCTCAGGTTCCTCATCCTTCTAATTCAAAATGTCTGCTTCTTAGGCAAATCGTGGTCATAGTCCAGCAGCTCATTTAATCTAGCTTTAATTGCTAATATGTATTGAACCAATTTATCTCAGTACTATTCAACATCTTTTGCTGATTTTCCATAAAGTTTGGCTGCAATTTTTGCCATCTATTGGGTGTGCCTTCTAAGATTTCGGCAAAAGGCACCTCAAAATCATTTATTTTCTTCATGTACCTGTATCTTAGAAGTTGTCACTTGAAAACGAGAGCTATTAGCATAGGCCCACTTTCTAGTGCCACAATATTGATACGACAATTGTAAAGTGAAAGTGATGTCTTTTCACACAGATGATTGAAACCTTGTGACTTCTCATATTTGTTTATATTCTCGTTGTGCTTAATAATCTATGATTTATTACACCATCATTAGAGTTCTTATTCATGATTTTGTCAATTTACTTGTTGGAAAATTGTATGGGAAACAGAATTTTCTGGTTCCTTCTTCATTTGGTAGACTATGGTGTTTTTCAAATTTATTTCGAACATTCAAGCTAATTTTATTGCAAAACTACTTGCCCTGTTTGTTTGGTGGGATGCAATGCTCTTACCTTGTTTAATGGAGGACAATTGAAATTTGCAGGCAATTTATGTCAACATCCAATTGCTTGTGACCACTCAAACGACATCATTAAAATTTAAATTCTTATCGTATTGACCAGCCTTTGGCGATGAAGATGTACGGTATTCACACAGTACAGATTTTCCATCTTTTTAGCACTTAGTTAGCATGCTATACTGTCTTATTATGCCAAATTGACTTGCTGAATTCATATGCACCTTACTGTTGGGTATTTTGCAGACTCCAATCCAATGCTGATGTACTTAGTAACTGTGAAGTTCTTGAGCTTTTAAGATCCGGAGGTGCCAGAAAAGATCCTACACGTATTATTGCTGCCGTTACACCATATGAATTCAAGGTTGGAGCATTTTGTTCTTAATTTATATATCATTGATATTTTCTCATCAAGTAATGTGGATTTATTCACGGCCGATGCATTTTTTCTTGTGTAGGTTTATGATTATTTAGAACAAACTGTTGCATCCAATCAAACAATAGAAATCATCAATAAGTTCGTGAAATGCTTAATATCGTCAACATTAGGCCATCGTCTGCAGTTGAGATCGACCCGGTAATTTCTGTCAAACCATTCCTATTTTGCTCTTACTTCAATATCATTGTGGATCCGTAGTGTTAGTTTTTATCTTCATTCTTCAAGCAATACAAATTTAAGAATTCTCAAGATGCTCCTTAAAGGTGCTTTAAAGTGCGTACTAGCGTGTCACCCGTGCAATGCACGGATATTGTACTAAAAAAATAAATTTATAAACGTTGAGATTAAATATTTCATTTGATTTAAACAGGATTATCGAGGTTGTTATAAAAGTATATGAAATAAGTATCATATATGCGTTACAATTGTCATAAAAAAATTAAACCGATGTTCCAACTACTACAAATTTTGGAAAAGTTCCTTGAAAACACATTTGTCGTTGAATTGTCATGTCCGTCATCCTTATCGCAAATCAAAATCTTCAACCCTTTGTGATTTGTAACTCTAGACATAGCAACGTATAACTGACCATGGCTAAAAACTATTTTTTTCAAATACAAACCAACATGAGATAGCGATTGACCCTGACTTTTGTTGATTGTCATTGCGTATGATACAATAAGAGGAAATTATCTTCGTTGAAACTTGAATGGCAGCCTTGGATTAGATGGAGTCAACGTCATTCTAGGGATAAGAACCTTATGACCTGCATTAGTTCCAGCGAGAATCTTTGCTTCCAGAACATGACTTCTGAGCCTCGTAATAATCAATCTTGTGTCGTTGCATAAGCCGGCGGAATGGTCTATGTTGCGTAAAAGCATAACAGGAGTGCCGACCTTCAATTTCAATTCATGGTTGGGCACACCAGACCGTCTAATTCCATTCAAAAACTCAGGCGTATGAAGGTCACGTAACATGTCAACATTGGCATCTGACTTGCAAGTTGAATCAGAACTTAAATAAGTATTTCCTTCAGCCGCATTTAGCGAAATCATATAATCATTGACAGATTCAACCACATCAAGTGTCGGTGCGAGAATAGCTCTTCCTTGCAGATAATTTGCCTTATTAACGTCGCAAGTAAACAACGGATACATACTATCCACGATGCTTTGACTGGATTGTCGAATCCACGTAACAAAATATCATCCGAAATTTCAATTGTTGCATGGCCATCATTCGCACGGCCAATTGTTACATCCCCTATACTCGCAATCCAATCAGAAAATGCATTTAATTCAACGCACTTAGCATCTGACTCGATATTTTGTAGTCTCATGTTTTTGGACAATCTCAAAACCTTATAATTTTTCCATAAATATGATGAATTGATAGCTGCAAGCACAATATCCTGTCTACTTCCTTTTGGAATCACAGGCAAGATCTGTCGAAAATCTCTTCCAAAAACAACTGTTTTTCCTCCAAAAGGTAGTTCCATACTCTGTGGATTGTTGAATCTCAAAATGTCTCGCATGCTTCTATCCAAAGCCTCAAAACAATATTTGTTCATCATAGGCGCTTCATCCCAAATTATAAGCTTGCATCTAACAATCAATTCCGCGAGAGGACTACCCTGCTTAATGTTGCACGTGGAATCTTCATTTGGATTTAGCGGTATCGCAAATCTTGAATGTGGAGTTCTACCACCGTCCAAAAGTAACGATGCTTTACCCTTGACGCCACATTCAATACAATTTCTGCTTTTGATCTTAAAGCCGCAGATAAAGTTTTCCATACAAAGGTCTTCCCTGTACCTCCATAACCATAAACAAAAAAACACCACCTTTATCCGATTGAACTGAATTCAATACTGTGTCATAAACATGTCGTTGCTCAATTGTCAAATTAGAGACCATGTTCTTGTGTTCTTCCACCAATGCTTTCCGATCATATCTCATTTCATCTTGAAAAAAAATTATAGTGGAAAAATAATTGCTTGATAATTTACAAAGTACTAATTTAATTTTTTATTCTTATTATTTTTTTTCCTTTACTGATATTCATCTTCAAATTTTAAAACAAACATATAGACATTTTCTTCCATGACTTATAGTAGCAAATTTATAATTTTCAGAAAATTATACCTCTTGACGAAAAGAATACAAATTATACCTTAGAAATTTATTTTATGCCATATTTATAATTCTTTTCTCACTTTCATATCCTAAATTTCAATCTGCAATTAACATGTTGCATTACATATGTTAATACCAGATCCACATGTAAAGTTTGGAATGTGATAGGAAAACTTACTTCACTGTCATGCGAAATGAACTCCAAGCTATATGTTTCATTCGGATTTGTGATCTTTGGCAGCTCGTAAACACGGATAACACGCACTTTTAGCGCCCAATTAGTCTTCGTGACGTTGATATCTCGCACAAGATCAAATATCGGTGCCATATGCATTTATCTATCTTCGACGTGGTAGAAAAAGTGAAAAAAAGTTAAAATCGTGAAAAAAAAAAAAAATATGGTCATTAACAGATGTATTCGAAACAGAATTGCTAGAATGTCACCCGGACTGCGACTTGAACGATATACTCACAAAAATGTTGCACCCGCAAAAATAATTCTCCCGAGACGAATAGAAAACGAAGTCTTCAAATTTCTTGTAAATGTGCTTGCATAAATCAAATTTGAAGTCTTGTTTACACTGCTAAAATGATGAGCAATGAGGTAGAATGATGGATTTTGAAGTAAAATATTGACAAAATTGTAGTATTTCAAAATGGTTGCACGTCCCTACTCGGAAAACGAACAGTCACTCTGCCTCTTTATGTGCAAATCAAATTTAAAGGAAAAATAGAAATAATTAATACATAACAACTTTTGTAACATTGGTTTAGCTCATTTTACTATTAATAATTATTAATTACTTGGGCATCTAAATATCTACTGGGTTTCATAATTCAGAATTTTAATCCATGATGTGAGCTAACCATGGCTAACGGCCTTTGTTCAGTAATTTATATTTACTTGCACCATATTAACGTGATATTTAATATGGCACACATTTCACGAATACTGTTATAATAATAATAATAATAATAATAATAATAATAATAAAACATTAATTAAGTTTCAAAACAATAATAATAATGTAATTAACACACACAAAACAACTTAAAACGTTTAAAATGATAATAATTCAAAGAAGTTTATATATAAAAGGCAGGTTATAGTGACTTTTCGGTTTTCAAACATTTTTTTTTAAAAAAAGAATGATTTAATGAACACAAAACTTAACAAATGAAATTGTTACTATCAATAAAAGCATGCCGTAATGTTTGACTTCAAAATTCCATAAGAGGAAAGTACATTTTGGCGGGAAATATTTTTTGACGGCACTTCTGTTTTTATATATATATAGATGATACATTGAAAACTTGTTCTTCATACTTGTTGATAGTTTTTTTTTTTTTTTTCAGCATTCAATTTGTATATTTTCAAATTTGGTTTTCTTTCTGGTGTTACCACTGGAATGTGGTACATCAAAGAAGCTCCATATACACCAATATGGGATGTGGCTGTAGTGTGTGCAATTACCATAATAATCTCAATTGCCTTGGCAAAGATTTTTCCCAAAGTCGAAAAGGCATGAAGTTTACTTTCTCACCATTTATCCCGTGCAAATCTTTTTGTGTTTTTTGGAAAATATTTTGAATTCTACTGTTGTTTATTTATATCCTTAAAAGAGTCTGGTAGTAGTGGCACTTCGGCAGCACTGGTAACATTCAATGTAAGGACCATGTACGTTTGATAAATAGTTGGGAAATACTATTTCGTATAATGGCATCCAACGGACATTTGACTTTGCCGATAGACTGTCAAAACCAATTTAGTTCTTT